ACTGTATTTCAGATAATAACGACCTCTGTCTGAGTCTGTCAACAGTCCAAATTTAAGATATTTGCCTGATATTATAAGCCCGTGCATACACTAAACATCCACTTGGCACAGTGCAAAATTACAAATATTTTGTGCTCTAATTGGCACTGCTGCTTTTATAGGGAGGATAATCTAAAAATCATGTTCTTGCAGTTTTCCTCCACATCTCTAGTAGCACCAGATAGAGTAATAGTCCCAAGTTGACAGGAACCTATTGAAACATGCAAACAACCAATACACTCTTTTGTTTTGTATATAGTTAGTTAATATTTGTATTGCATATAGCAGGCTCGCATGACCTCGCATGAAATGAATTGAACCTAGTCACTCCTACTCTGCTGTTCGAACCAGTTATATGCAACACAAGCTACAATGAGGTTGGTTTACTAAAGACAAATAGGCAGTTCACTTTGCAAGGGAATATTTACTTTACAAGTGAATTTTACCTTGGCTTAGAGAATGAGGTGAAGCTCTGCTGACTTCCATCATCCAATCATGTACAAGAAAAAATACTGTTTTAAAAAAAAAAAAATCCTTGCATGTGGCTGGGGATTCTTTGCAAAGTGGATTTTCAGAGCAATTGCTATGCTAAGGGAAACTTTTGTTGCAAAGTGTGAATTCTTCTACTAAATAACCATTTAACTATCAATAACAACATTTAATTTCACAACTGGAATTCCATGTATGGATGGCAAAGTGGAGTTAAGCTATCCTTAGACTTAGCCCTTGTTTACACTTTGGCACGCATTCATGCAATGCCCAAGTGTGTGCATTGGCGTGTATTCAGGCAACATGTTAAAAATGTATGACATGCTTGCAGTGCCATTATTGGAGCCCCAAAAATGGCTAGTAAAATGTACATTTTTGCCCACAAATGCACAATCAACAAATGTGTGATGCTCGCAGCTGAAAATGTTGCATGAGCTTCTTTGTCATGTTTGTTGTGCATGCAGCACTGTGCATGTGATAAACTCCCTGTGTGCATGCGTGGGAGTTCATTCATCCCCCGCCAGAAATCAAAATGGCCGCAGACCCTGGACCTGGAAGATGGCAAGGGAGTGAGAGAAAATGAGAATGGTTCCAGCTTAAGGTTAGACATAGCATTAACTGTTGAGTTTACTTGCATTTTAAAATGTATTTAAAGCAAATAAAATAAAAGGATTAAATCTTCTGTCAGGATTTTAAAGTTTCCTGTGTTCCTAAGGGTGGGATTCACATTTTCTCCTCTCCTGGTGACCATTGTCTCTGGCACAGTACAAAAGTGATTGAACATTTAACATTTTTGAGTTGGCACAGGAAAACTCTTCCGATGACAACTGTCTAAGGGAGAGAGGCCTACTGGAGAGAGGTCATAACTTTATATTGCATGTCTGAAACAGGAACTAAAGAAACACAGACAGCAAAAAAAAAAACAACTTACAGGGGTCTTCCATTCCCAATGCTATGGCTTTACATACAGTAATAATTACATTTGAAATGTTTATTTTAAAGGTTAGCTTAAGGGATAAAATACAGTTCCAGATTAGTTAAAGTGACATTAAACCCTCAGTAACACATATCACTTCTGCATTCACAGCCTGGAGGGAGGTCAGCAAGGAGCTGATCTCCCTTCCTCTTCCTCCCGACGCCCTCCCGTCCCCGATCCGGGGCCGCAGATGGGGCAGCGGATCCCGGGATTGAAGGTGAGGGGTCAGGGGCAAAAAAACTAGCACATATAGACGATCGGCGGGCTATGGAGCCGCCAATCGTCTATATGTGAAACACTCGGTAACGGGTGTTTGCTTTGGTCGGGTCTTTTCTGCCCGTGCGTGCCCGCAGAAAAAAAATGCAGTCGAGAGACGGCAGCCCACCAATGCTGCAGTGCCGTCCGTCTGTTTTTTTTACAACGGGCGGACGGCAAGTGGTTAAGGATTTAATATTAACTGTTAAGTTTTTATTTTAGGAAGTAATTTAAGTGTTAAGTTTAGAGGGTTACAGCTGGGGAGACTTCAGTGTTTATAAGAAATGTTAAAATTTTTGGCATTGAAATCTCCACAGCAAAATGTATTGCTCTGGGTTTCCAGAAAAGCATAGAAATATTTATAAATGCAACTCCAATTGTTGCCACAATCATTTGGATGAATGGATGGATGAAATAATGGATGGATGAATTCATACAGTCTATTACTTTATAGACAAATAAGGATGTTTTCGTAGACAAACAAGGTAACTAAAATATATTGAAGGGAATTTATCAAAACTGGAGCAGACAAAACCTGGAGAGGCTTTGCATGGCAACCAATCAGCTTCTCTCTTTTATTTTCAAATCTTAACTGAACAAACTGAAAAGAAAAATTGATTAGTTGTCATGCACAGCCGCTTCAGATTTTGTCTGCTCCAGTTATGATAAAATCCCCCCACTGTTCTTCTCAATGTTAAGGCATTAGGCCTGTGGAATGTATTTTGTACTGTTCTCATGTAATAAAATAAAATTCTTTTTTAAACATGCTTTTCTTTTCAGTAAAAAAAAATGGTCATAAATAGTATTACAATTTTGTTTCTTTTATGTTTACAGATGCATCAAAGATTCCACCTATGTGACCTACCCAACATATTACTCAAATCAGGTTCGATTTGGATTCAGCGCATTTCGCTTCGTACAAAATTTCTCCAGAGTGTATTTAGAGTGTAAATTAACGGTTTGCAACAAAAATAGCTATTCTCGCTGTTACCAAGGATGTATTAGGCGACAGAAAAGGGCTTCATCAACTCCTCATGAGACATTTAGTGTTGTGGTTGGGCCAATTGAACTAAAAAAATTAAACGAATAAAATTAGACACTACTACCATTCAAATGTTCTTCTAAATATATTGCATAGTTTTTAACTTATGTGGACTGATTTTTTTCAATGACAAGGTTACATTTTACTATAAATGCATTAAAATATTGACGGCAGAAAATATGGAGTTAAAGTGAATTCATACATTGATAACTTCAATGGATTGCAATTGTAAGCATTTGAAATGCCTATCTAGAGGAAGAGCCAGATTGTGACTGACTGTCCCTGCTCTCTGCAGGGAGATGATCAGAAAGTGAGCGAACGATGGTATGTGTTGACTCACTTCCCGATCAATAGAGCTGAGGTGTGACCGTTTCATTGTCACACATCGGCTCTAACTGTGAGGATGTGTGTAAATCACTCACCTCATAGTTTTCCTTTAACTCCTAAATTTAGTGTCACTTTAAGATTAAATCCATCATGAATATCCTCTTCTTTAGATTCCAGATTTCTAGATAATTTCATATAAATCATATTTATCTGCTTTACATTTCTACATGCAATGTTATTAAAACTGACAACTGTGGAATTCGGAATCGATGTGTAGTTTATCTTATTTTACTTTTGATTAATTTTCACCTTTTCTATTGCATGATGAAATAATAAAAAATAAAAAAAATGTATGTTTACTTTTTTTCGATGCAAATTCGATGACAACCAAGTGCAAAATGTACACTTGAAATACTTTATGAATATGTATCCACTTTTATCTGTCTTTTCTTTTCTATAGACCATTAGGACAAGTAATAGGCCAAGGTAACTTGGCCGTGTTTGTGGGAGGAGTTTCGGCGGCTCTCCTCCCCTTAAGAAGGGGGACAGGGAGCTCCTAGAGACGTCACAGCGAGGTCGCGCTTGACCCGCCCGCCCTTCCCCAGGTTCTATCATTTCACTAGAGCGTGCCCCCTTATTTGGCACGCTGACCATAAAATCATGGCACACATCAGGTTGGTATCAGTAGGGGTCATGAAGACGTCGGAAGCCTAAGTAACTCTGACCACAAATTATAATTGTATGTAAAAGGTGTAAAGTATTTCATAAAAGACCTATAAATAACTTTACAAGTCTTCATGAATGAAACCTTGACGTACCACAATATACAGCAACAATATAGTCACAAATTGCATTTTTTTATTATTAAAAAAACAGTAATTTTGATCCAGTTAAGTAACTGTTCCTAGGAACACTCTTTCTGCAACTTATGTAAAACAAAGAAAATGTTGTCACCAGTACTCTGCAGACAGTTGGAAGTATCTCCACAGTCTTCACTTCCCAATGATCACGTGACTTAGATTCTATTATGCCACATCAGAAATTAAGAAGGCTATTCACAAAGCTAGCCGAAGGATCAGCCATAGCTCCGGCTGATCCTTCGGCTAGCTTCGGCCGCCGGGGCCCTTCGGTTCAGTCAAACTGAAGGGATGCTGTACAGGCTCCCGAAGTTGGCCGAGTGGCTTAGTCGAGCCGAAGGCATATGCTTCGGCTCAACTGAGCCGAGGTGAAACCTGAAGCAGGCCGAACGGCCGGTCATTGGCCAGCTGAGGGAAAGGAGGGAAAGGTCAATATATGCTGCTGCGCATGAGGAGGTTAAAGCAAACGTGTTGCTGTGCCCTGAATAGGCAAAGTGCAGATTTGCTTTAAGCTTTTATACGAAACTTACTGGCGCTGTATTTTCATTCTCATTGTAACCAAGAAATGTGCATTTTCATTCTCATTGTAACCAAGAAATATGCATTGTAAACAGGAAATATGCATTTTCATTCTCATTGTAACCAAGAAATATGCCCACTTCAGAACTTTCATCCTTTTATATAGCGTGAGCACTTCCATTAGAACACGTAGGAGAATGGAATAGGTTGTCCCTTCGTAAATTCCATTATGTGGACATTGAAGTGCATTGCATGAGAGGAATGACATGACTGAAAAGCAGGTTAATGTACTAATGAACAGCGAAGGGGGGAGAGGGAGGCTCTCGAATTTGAAGAAAATGCTGCACTCAGCTCGTATCCTGAAGACACATATGAATGCGGCTATCTATTGATTTTTTTGGGGGGAACATAAGATTTGTTATATAATACGGATACAACTGTGATCCTGCTCTCCACAGGGCTATGCACACCACAGCCCACATTCTACAGTCCATTCATGAAATGCAGGCTGCAGTGTGGAGGCGGCAGAGCCCCAAAGTGTTCTCTTTGCTTATCACACCAGAGACAGCTCCATGATCGGAGGAACACTGGCCATGTGACTTTGACAAGTTACAGGCTGTCCTCCCAGCCTTTTTAAAGTTTCATTAAAAGTAATGCATCATTTTTTAAATATTTTTTTTACATTTTTTTAATGTATTATTTATTTACATTATTAAATGTTTTTTTTTCTACTTTTTATTTTTTTTTCAACTTTTGACACTGTCTTACTATTCAGCTCGTTACCACAGAGGTACTGAGCAGAATACCTGAGCCGCTTGGCGGCATTCAGCTATTCACTCACTGCTGTTCGGCTCCTATGAGAATAGGCCGAACGGCAGCGAGTAGCCTGCCGGAGGTTCACTTGAGCCGATCCAGATGTTTGATCGGCTGAGTCGAACTCCTTCTGCACTTCGGGGCGGCCGAACATGCTGAGTATGTTTTGCCGACCCGAAGCCAGCCGAAGCTAGCTGATGTACGGCTGATTTCAGCCGATGTACGGCTGAAATCAGCTGTACAAGCCTGAAGTGAATAGCCAAACAGCATTCGGGTCGGTTACTCACACGGCTGCCCTCGGCAGGGTGGTTTATCTCTGTGATACTCTAAAGGATTTTTACTCTAGGAGGTCACAGAGGGAGAGGCAACAGACAATAACAGGGTTATTCACAAAAGCGTAAAGTTTGGAGAAGGCAGGAGAAGTAAGCAATCTAGGCCAAAATAGCTCATTTGGAAAATATTCTCCAAATTAGCTCACTTTCCAGTTCAGTTTCCTTCTTCAATCTTTTCACCCTTTTGTGAATAACCCTGTAAGTTGTTTGGGTATGGTATTTAGTAACAATTCCTGGGTAATGATTGAGAAACAGGAGCACTATAACAAACAACCAGGATTATAAAGACACATGCATCTGGTTGCAAACACTGACCTGGAATGATGCCTGAACAAAGATGAAGCTGGCCTTCTGAAGAGACAGTATGGTAAACAGGAAGGAAGTAGTTTTGTCAGGTAAAACATATCTTTTAAACTTTCTTTTTATTTAGCATGCATCGACTGAAATTGGAAATGCTACTTCTTTAAAGCAGACATAGGTAAAGTGGTTATGAGAAAAAAAAGTGCTCTGAAGGTGTGTTACCATAATGTGCTAGTATACACAGCATATAAGTTCATTGCAGCCAACTTACCTTGCAAATGAACCCAAATGCCGCACTGCACTGTCTGCTCTCCCCTGCATCGCCACTGCTGCCATCTTCTCTCGGTTATCTCCTGCGTTCAGCATCTTCAGCCTTTTGGCACATACACAGGGACCATGGGAAACAAAAGTAGCCATCCTGCAGATAAGTGTCAGCATGACACTTATCTCTCCTGCAGGAGAGTGTCAGCATGAATTCAGAGATGATTGCAGGATCTTCAGCTGAGTGATACACAAATAAGGTACAGATTTGTTAAAAGTTAAGATACAACTTCTGAGTGTAGTGTCACTTTAAAAAGTGTATGTAAGGGCAAAATAGAAAAAAATCATATACAGTATATTTCTACAATACATGCACATACTACACTAATAGGCTGGCTGACATATTTCCTAATAGTTGCTGGCTGCAATTGCTTTTCTTCATCTTACAGTACCAGACACAGACGTCTCCCCTCTTTTCCCACTCCCCTGGCCTCTCTCTCTCCCCCCCTCCCCCTCTAGTAGGCAGGCTAGGATATTTTGTGTCATATGCGCTGCCATGGGTGCCAGTGGCCATCTTCCCCGAGCCTACAGTGCTACTGTATATGCACTGATCGGTAAACACATGGTTGACTCCGGTGCCCATTTTGCTGGAGTCCCGTTTTTTGCTTTCTGCACATGCATGGACTCCAAATAAGCTTTGAGGGACAGAGCTGAGCCAGGGTGGCGGTGTCACACAGATACTCTAACAATTACATTTGGTGCCATTAGGTGGCGCTTGCTACCATTGCTCCTTTCTGAGTCATGTGGAGGAGGGACAGACCATGAGGCTGCAGACTATCTAGGTGAGACAGCTAAGGGCCTGAGGCACTGGTCAGAGGTGGGCATTTACCAAACTGTGAGTCCTATAGGGACCCACTTATTAAGTTAAGACATACGGGGACAGTAAAGGGAGGACCAGTACAGCAACTGCTAGTGGGGTGGTGGAGAACCTGATGGTTCCCCTGAGGACTCTGTGATGGATAACATATCTGTTATTCCACCTTTTAATCCCTTACACTCAAATGTATCTATTACTCAGTTGGCTGAGTGTCATTCCTCCTTTCTAATTAAAGATGATTGTGCTGTTACATCTACAGTATGAAAATATGACACAATGCATAGCCACAGTTAATATTCATGTTACTGTAAACTAAGAATTATATAGTTCATTTCCTTAAGCCATTACCAGCATTACCATCTTGTGGTCATTTTGGTTATTGCACCATCTTTTTCTGTGTTTCCTCCCATTTTATGATATATTTCCCCTTTCTTCTCACATTGTCTTTATGGCATAAAAATGGCTGCTTGTCTTATGGCCACATGTTAATATGCTCGTATGGAGGAAACAAAACCATGTTTTGACCTGCAAATACCGTCTTTTCAATAATCTGCTACATCCTGTTGTCTGCTGTAACCAGCTGCATCAAATAAAGATCTCTGTGGATGAAAAGGTATTAGGTGAGTTCAGATATCTGATAAGGATTGTCCGCAGTGATTATATCTGCTTATACAGGCCAAGCATAGAGGTCTCAGCAGGGAATACAATCACTAATACAACAATCGGAGTCAGAATAGTCAAAGATGGTAGAATTCCTACAGTTTGCTGTGTATATGTGTGTGCCTAATATGCAATCAAGCTC